TAGCTCACTTTGTAATGCATTTTTTGTAATTACCTGAGAACCATTTATTAATCAAATTAGATCAAGAGAGTGTTATAGAGAAACAAAGACTGTTAAGTTGCATTTAAGATGTTTAAGTTCCCTTGATTTGCAAGATTCCGCTGCTGTGAAAGACAGTTGCAAAAAAAGTGAAAATTGCAGGCATCAGTAAACTATTATAAACCATTTAAAAACAAACTTCTCTGATTCTAAGGACATTTAAAGGTTCAGGTATCAGCTTGATATTTGATGAATGTGATTCTGCTTACACTTATCTCTACTATAATCAAAACAAACATGACCTTTGACCTGTGACCTTTTCTCGACACCAGTTGGCATGCTTCATGACCACAGCAGGAGTGGAAAGTGACCTCACACATGGACATAAGGAAATGGCTTCTGCTTTCAGTTAAACTCTAGTGAGCAGACATCTCACACATGTATTTACTGGTGTAAATGATGGGGGTTTTATATATGAAGAGTTTAGATGTAAAAACCTCTAAATGCCATCTGAATTTTTCTTTTAAAATAAACATTGTTCTCAGGCTGCTGTCTATATGTTCAGTAATTTCATATTTATGGCAAAGAATACTTTTTTTCATTACCTTTTAAAGTGAAATAACTGAACATAAACATTGGAGCCTGAGGAAAAATGCTATTTTTAGATCAAAATTTCAAACTGCTCTTAGAGGTTTTTGCATCTGAACTCTTCATATGGACATTCAGTCATGTTACAATTGTTTTTTAATGGCATAATTTCTAACAACTCGAGCATATGCAACATTTATGTTTTAAAGTTAAAACAGGCAGAAAAATAATGATAGTGTCATGTTGCTTGTTTCTGAATGAAGGTATGACCACTTTACCAATTAGAATACAGAATCATTGAAATTCAGTTTCTGGAAATTTAGGCTGTTACAAGAACCAATCAATCAGCTCATTAGTCACACTTTGTATGGATTATACACATTTTATTACTATAGATAAAACAACTTGTCACCTTACAATTACAAGGTTCTATCTGACATTTTTTGTCAAAATTGAGTTATTGACATATTCCTATTAAATGACAACCTATTTACATTATGGGATGTTTTTTATAAGTTGTTTACATTTTAAGACTTTTTATTTAAAAATAACTAATGTTACACACATACTGTTTGCTATATGGAATGCAAAAACTTTAAAACTCAATATCTCAAAATTATTTAGAATGCAGATAGAACCTTAAAATTCCAAGGTGAAGAAATGCAGAACACCTAAACATCTGTGCTTCTTTTTCATTGTTTCCATGAACAAAACTTTTATCAGAGCTGCAGCAAGGGTTTGTCAGTGATCGTTTCTCAGAGAATGTGGCTGATGGATGCTGTTTCTCATTTTCTCCATAAACAAAACTTGTATCAGAGCTAAAGCAAAGGCTTGTCAGTGGTGGTCTCTCAGGGAATGTGGCTGATGGTTGCTTAGCAAAGACCGACACTATGAGACTGCAAGCTCAAATACACATTAAAATTGGTGAAGAAAATGGTGCTACGCACGTTTTCTATGACATTTGATCACAATATGTGCACATACGTTATGTAATAATATTAATTTTTTTAAGTAATGTGTAATATAACGCATTACTTTCAAAAATAAGTAATATTATTTGGGTGACGCGGTGGCGCAGTAGGTAGTGTTGTCGCCTCACAGCAAGAAGGTCCCTGGTTCGAGTCTCGGCTGTGTCAGTTGGCATTTCTGTGTGGAGTTTGCATGTTTATTTATGTGGGTTTCCTCTGGGTGCTCCGGTTTCCCTCACAAGTCCAAAGACATGCGGAACAGGCGAATTGGGCAAGCTAAAATTGTCTGTAGTGTATGATTGTGAATGACAGTGTATGGATGTTTCTCAGGGATGAGTTGCAGCTGGAAGGACATTTGCTGCGGAAAACATATCCTGGATAAGTTGGCGGTTCATTCCGCTGTGGCAGCCCCTAATTAATAAAGGGACTAAGCCGAAAAGAAAATGAATAACTGAATGAATAATACTATTTGAATTACTTTTAAGAAATGCAACACAAGTTACTTTTTATCTTGCTTAATTACCTTTTTAAAAAAGAAATTGCAGAATAAAAATGACTTTAGTCAGGTTGAATCACACACTCAACGAGAGAGCATGCTGCGAGGGAACAGACAGCCGGCTCTCACTCATCATCATCAGGTCTCTTTTTTCACAGCAGATGAGTCAGTGCACTGTTCTAGTAACTAAATAACTCAGGATATTGGTTTATTTAAAGTCAGAGGACGTATCCGGCATGTTAAAAAGTAAGTAATACAGTAGGCTACTTAGCCTACTGAACACGCAATCCGACTCAGTTCAATTTGGTGAACTGGTTCCACTGGTTCACTTACAAGATTTTGTTAAAAACAAACGATTCATTCACAAATCGCTCGTCATCGCTACAGACACACAGAAACAATGGCAGGCCGGAGACTTTCATTTTTGCAATGGATTCTTGTTATTTTGAACTCATCGAATAAAAGAAGTAGATTGTTGTTAACTGTTGATGATGTGTGAGTAAAACTCTTGACAACTGCAAGAAACATGACATCAAAAAACAAAACCGCATGTGAAGCACTACACCCGCACTTTACGTCCACCTACACAACAAACGATTAACATTAGTTCACATTCTTCAGGTAAAAGAATTAATTTGACTAAACTAAAAAAAAAAAGGTTATTGCTATTGTAGAAGCGACTACGCTTTGTACGATTTTTTTCTCTTTTGGGAAACAATCTACGTTTGTTAAGGCCATATGAGGCAATTTATTCAATATATAAAGCTCAAAGACTTATTTTGATTTGGGGATGTTTTTATCATCTGTTAATTTTGTTATTAAACTTAAAGGTTTAAAATCAGTTTTCGCCTTAATATAAAGGATTTCATGTTAGTACTCTTAGGCTTTATTGCAGTATTTATCCCAATGGACAGAAAATTTATTTAACTGATAACACAAAACGTACAAAAGTAGCAGACACATTATTTTACATGCTTTCATTTATGGGTTCATGGGTTCAGAAAGTTTTCAAAATATAATTTTATCCTACAATTCTTTAAAAAAAAATGTATGAAGAGCTTCTCTATAAAAAAAAAAAAAGTGAAAAAAAAAACCCTGCAAGTGCTGAAAGGGATCAAACCTCAGCCAGGTAAGGAAAAGTAACGCAAAAGTAACTCAAAAGTGATATAATGCTTTCCATGTAAAGTAACTAAGTAACGCAATTAGTTACTTTTTTGGGGGAGTAACTCAATATTGTAATGCATTACTTTCAAAAGTAACTTTCCCCAAGACTGGTAGAGGCACTATTTTAGTAAATGCTAATAACAATAAAAATGTAACGGCTTATATTTCATGAAAGTGACAAACAACCTATACAGTCATCATCGTTGGAGGGTCGATTTCTTAATTTTGATAGTTCCCATTCTGTTGACTATATAAGTAACAGTTGACTTTATAAGTTGACTGCGTTGTCAACTAGTCGCACATAGCATGACCTTCAGACTGACAGCAGAAGGTCTGGACTCTGTCAGTTTTTACTGCCCAAGGTTTGCCCAGGAGACCATCTGACTGGCATGTTCAGCAACCACTATAGTTTTGAAGTCCTTACAATAACAGACTGGCATGCCACCAATAAATCGTTCATTGAAGAAGGTTGCAATGAACTTCACATATATTAAAAAGCTCAGCATCAAGTGGGTCCTGGTAAACAGTGATTGTCACAGTTGCAAACATGATGACTATCATTTTCCATGAAAGGGATTGACATCATGACAGAATTATTTCCAGGTGAACTGTTAAAGAACACAACAACGCGCGGCTCTTCTGGAAATCCCGTAGAACTCATCCAATGAGTTGATGACTATGAACCTACCTAAGGGTTTCCCACTTCATGCGCCTTATATGCCAGCCAACCGGAGTCTGAGCCTGAGAGACTTACATGTCAATTTACTCTCATTAACGTATTAGTAGAGTATAAGTAGACTGTTAGGTAAGGGTTTGGGTTAGTAGAATTAGTTGACATACTTTTAAAGTTACTTGTTGTCAGCAGAATGTCTTCAATCAAATGAAATAAGTCTACTAAAAGTATAGGTTGACATGTAGTCCCAGAGTTACTCATAGTCAAAAAAGAGACCCTACAATTACACTTTTTTATGTTGGTGTCACTGAGTGAAATAGGACATGATCATGTTAACCATCTAGTTAGCCTAGCTCTATTCAAATAAGCATTGAGGCTGATCTACAGCAAATTTCCTTTCAGTAATGGTTTTGGCTTTCAGTTTAACTTGTTGTCCTCATCAGATGTGCCAACATGAATGACTACACACACACATACACATACACAGGATGTATGCTGTCAAAGGAATTACATAAGGTCAAAAAAATGACTACTAGCTATTGTATGTTTACCCAATGCAGAGCTGCTGCCAAGTCTAAAAGTAGCTGTCCTCGAATCTAAATTAAACAGAGAAGCCCAAATAGTGCTTTTTCCCAAATAGCATGTTTTAAGCACTTAGACCTTTACATGTAGGTCTTTTTGTGTTTTCAGTAACCCAGACAGAACCTTTTAGGGCTTGTTTATCTAGACGGGTTCCAGTTAGGGGTGAAATATCTAAAACTGTGATTGTCTAAATAGGTCTTTTAAAGACCGTTGGGAGTGATTGGACACCCTTTAACCTCAGCTTTTGTTATACAATATTTGATGGTTGGTTTGTAGGAGGTGTGCAAGGCATTTTAACTGCAGTATATCACTTTCAGAAGGGTAAATCCTGCTGTTGGAGAAAGGCCCCGCTGCTGAATTCCAGATCTGATCAAACCCACATGAATCAGCTTCCCTTTAAAATCACAACCAGGTGTGCTGGAGCTCAGCCTGCAAGAAGACTAACCGAGACAGAGAGTAATTCAATTGCGGTTTCACTTATGCTGTCTTATTCTGTCTGTCTCTTCTTTAGGGTGACCATACGTGGGCCACCATGTTGGGTCAGAGCGTGAGGCTGCAGCCGGTCGCTATACAAAGCCTCTCTGAGCTGGAAAGAGCGCGTCTCCAGGAAGTGGCCCTTTACCACTTGGAAAGAAGAGACTTGGACTTCAAGATCAGCATCCCTAGAGGTAGAGTTCCCCTAAAATGACTTGATGATTTCTAATCATGCATGAGAGTAGTGCACTCATTGTATAATAAATAAATAATCAATAATTAAATTGTTCCCAGAGTGAACCTTTATTTCAAAATGACATCAAATTGGCATCAAAAACATGTAAAAAAAATGCAAATAAATTTACTGTATGTCAAAACATTGACATCGATTTGACATCCACCACACATCAATGCCCTTTTGACCACCAAAATAACGACACACAAAGTATTATAATATAAGAAAAGTTTTATTCATAGGAAAACTTCAATTCCAAATTACAACTTTACACTGCATTTTGTACCCCTACAATGCATGTAAACCTTGATTACCTTGATGTCAAAACAACATCAAGTTGACGTCTAACTTTGTTGCCGTCAAAAAACATGTCATAAAATCAATTGCAGGACAGTCCTTGCTTATGTTAAAAACTTAACTGTGCAGTTTAACAAAGTGATCTTTTGTTGATTCTTTTTACTATTTAGAAATGACTTGTACCATGGTTTATATGTCCAATCTAATCAATAAATCATTTACTACTAAAAATGTATATTTGGTTAAAACAGTTGATAGAGCAGAGATCAAGGATAGATAACCAGAATCACAAGTTACTGTTACTGACTGCTAATAACTTACAGATTTTCGCAAAAGAGTGGAGGAACTATGATGTCACTTTGTAGGCTTATCGGCTTCTAGCATAAAACTGGTTCCCTCGATAAAATCCCTATAGGATTTTGCCATAGGCTTTTCGAAGATTGCAAATAATAAGCTCTGTGTTCAAAAACTGTTCATTACACTTACACGTTTTGTCCAGCCGGATAATCCCCACATAAAAATACAACTCAGAGCACTTTTTGGATCTTAAATGCAAACACAAGAACTAAAAAAGCTAACATTAGGCTATAAATAGACTACAGCGCCTTTAGGACGTCAGCACCACCCTGGTATAGACAACTTTTCAAGCTTATTATTACAAATAATGTCCATGACAAAGAGTTAATCTTGATTTAATATATTATAATCCAAGTTATATATTATAACAAATAAATACGCAAAAACACATAGACCTACGCACTTTTTTCATCGTTTCTACGTGGGAGATACATTTTGTTTTGCTTTACGATTGTCGTAAAAGTTTTAAACTATATGTATAAATGTGCCTACATAGTACTATCAGAAATGAGGCGTGAGGGACAAGTCTATATGCCTGCATATTCCATGATGGATTGAGAACAGCATTCAATATTCTTTTTATGTCACGAAGTACAGCGGAGAGCAGCCCATACAGTCACATATGCTATACATTTTAAGGAGCGTAAATATTGCAGTCATGACAGAGTTAAATGTGTTCAGAGGAAGAAAAAAAAACAACGAAAAATCACTTGATCACGTTAAAATGATTATTTTTACACATTTATTCAGACATTTGCATTACTAAGAGCAGGAAGAAACAGACTGGACTGATAAGCAGTATCTTCATAATATCGTTTAATTAAAATAAATGTTTTAAAATTCAATCTTTCTCGACAGCCTTCACAAGTGAAGGAATTATCTACGCACAATTTGAATTCCCAATTAGAAAAATACTACAAACTATAAAATACTATTCATGAAAATACTTAAAAAACAGACAAATCCAAATGCCTAACGCAAGCAGATCAGTTCAGCTTGATGACGCATAATGTCTCCGACACCGCCTGTAGTCCCATTTAGCAACTTGTCCCAATCCAACTTTTGATTTAGCAACCTGATAGCAATGTTCTTTTAAAGAAGTGTAACTTATTTTAAAAATCAAGAGTGTGATATAACTGATGTGTTTTATGTCATAGAAAAAAAATTAAAATTAGCTTAAGTTTGTGTGAGCCACAAACCTTATTTAAGTGATTTTACTGAAATCCCATTGAAAACCCATTGACTTTGGGACGAGGGAACCGGAACTGCTAAAATGGGAACTCGCTTTCGGGTTTTTGCATACAAATTGACGTCATAGTTCCTCCGCTCTTTAAACTGTATAACCTGTAAACGCATGATGACATCCTGTGATGCATTACTAATGCTCATTCTAATAACAGAAAAAAACAAGTATCTATTAACCTCAAATTCTAATAACTTCCCAGTTGATGTTAAAGGTGGAGTAGGTGATTGTCTTCAGGAACATTTAAGTTGTGTGGTGAGGAGTGGTGAGTGGGGGCATCTCTGGGAAATCTCTGGGGGCCCCAAAACTGTGTGGGCGCCTGCACATAATTCTGTTTAGTAGCCCAAAACTTTTAAAATTTCTGAATGAATATTGGATTTACTTTTGCATGCTGGAGGAAGGATGACAACATGACTGAAGTATCATTTAAGTATTTTAGTCATACAAAGCTGATGTAGAGTGTGTTGCTTTACGAATGGGTTATATGCACAGAAGTGTTGTTCAGCCACTGAAATCTTCCGGCGAAAAGGTTAGGGCCAACCACTAAGCATACTGTAGACGCTTTAGGACAAAGAGAATGAGAGAGACCAGCGATCCTTGTGTGCATGAAATATTGCACAGTATTACGAGTTTTGCTGCTACACAACTGAAAACGTGCTAGATATAATACAGTTTTAGGTTGAGAATTGTAGTATTATAAAGTACTATAAAGTTTTCTAACTGGTGAATGACATAATCTATTGGGTTGTCTACTGTCACCTTTAAGGTGCGCATTGGTGATTTCAGGCGGTCTGGCTTTGGATGGCAGGGGGACTGTGTTTCAAAGGCATTATGCTTATGGATAGCATTTAGAGAGATCACCCACTGGACCTTTAAAGGTTTTTAAATTGATGAAATAAATTGCCATTCTACCAAATAGTTCTTGTCATGAGTAAAATCACATCCACCATCAGGAAGCAACATCATTGTCTCTGTTAAGATCATTTTGCTTGCACAATACAAGCAAAAAGTAATGCAACTTTTGATTGATTCTCCCCTTTTGCTACAAATGAGTAAAGCTGCATATGCTAAGTGCATGGAGTCTTCAACATTCCACACTTCTTTTTATTATATGAATACCTTCTGTAGATCTTCTATATATTTAAAGTGTACTTCAAAAGTGTACTTTTTTAATTTCTGTTTGAAAGCACTCTAAAAATGGCATAAAATAGTGCACAAGTGTGTGATTTGGGACACACCTTAACAACTGAACACTGTAGCTATTTTAAAAATGCAGATTTCCTTACTTCCTGAAATGTGTTTTTGTTGACATGCAAAGTTTCCACCTGACAGTGATGGTCTGATATATATTTTTTGAGTCACAGACTAGATATGATTGTTTTAAGGAGATGCTTATCAAATGTCAGAGAAATCTGTGCAAGCATTTTAGGGGGATTTCTGGTGGTGAACTTACCAGATAAGACTGCTGTAAGCATTTGTGAGATGAAGTGTAAGAGAAGACCATTTATTGGACAACACTGTTCAGTCACGGCCGAAATTTGGCTCATTCATTCATTCATTCATTCATTCATTCATTCATTCATTCATTCATTCATTCATTTTCCTTCGACTTAGTCAACTTAATCATAAGGGGTCGCTACAGTGGAACTCTCACATTCACGCACACACTCATACACTACAACCTAGTTTATTGAATTCACCTCTAGCGCATGTCTTTGGACTGTGGGGGAAACCGGAGCACCCGGAGGAAACCTACGCAAACACGGGGAGATTATGCAAACTCCACACAACAATGGCAACTGACCCAACTGAAACTCAAACCAGCAACCTTCTTGTTGCAATGTGACAGTGCTAACCCAAGAGCCACCGTGTCGCCCATGGACAGCAAATGTAATCAACCATATTATTGTGCAGAGTTATAAACAGACTTATCTTTCTCTATTGTAAACATATGTTTTATTGTTGACACCAAAGGTCTTGTCTTCACTTATTCAAAACATATTCAGCTCTAACTAGGAAGAAGCAAATTAAGCAAATGCCAACATGATAATCTTTATTTAACCAGGTAAGTGGGCGACGCAGTGGCGCTGTAAGTAGTGCTTTCGCCTCACAGCAAGAAGGTCGCTGTTCGAGGCTCGGCTGGGTCAGTTGGTGTTTCTGTGTGGTGTTTGCATGTTCTCCCTGCATGCGAATTGGTTTGTTCCGGGTGGTCCGGTTTCCCCCACAGTCCAAAGACATGTGGTATAGGTGAATTGGGCTAATTTGTTCATAGTGTATGAGTGTAAATGAGTGTGTGGATATTTCCCAGGGATGGGTTGCAGCTGGAAGGGCATCCACTGCATAAAAAGCATGTGCTGGATAAGTTGGCGGATCATTCCCCAGTGGTGACCCCAAATTAATAAAGGGACTAAGCCGAAAAGAAAATGAATGAAAGAATGAATAACCTGGTAAGTCAATTGAGAACCAGTTCTCATTTACAATGACAACCTGGTCAAGAGGCAACATAAAAAGTAGAAACGAAGCAGCAGGGACAAAATACCATTACAATTTCACAAATGCAGATAACACCATATAAAAGCAAGGAAAAACTAAAAACAACAGTGATCTTATACTATTGACTGGATTGAATTTTTAAAGTATGATAGTGGTTGATCGTGTTGAGCTTTAAGGCTATACAAAGGTTAATAAAACTGCTAGAGCGCAGATTTGGACATGTTTTCTGAATGTTAAGAAGTGACTATAAATATTAAGGGTGTCACGATCCTCCAAATCCTCGATTCGATTACATTTTCGATTCTAAAGGCACGATTCGATTCGATTTTCGATAATGAATAATTAATTAATTAATGACCAATTAATTATTTGTAGCCTACCGTTTAAACTACCTGACCTGCATGGTCTTTGTTTAACCGATAAACAAATCATACAGTAAATGAATAAAGGCAAGATACACACATAATTACCACCTGTCAATCACTTTTTTCTGCGGGACTCGTGAATAGGCAGTGATTTGTGTCGTTATAATGGCATCGGTAAAAAAGACGCACAACCAACAGGAACCA